TCTAGTCTTCTGATAGTGTATTTAATCTTCCACCAGCAATATTTAGTCTTCTGCAAGGAATATCTAGCCTTCTGTTAGCAATATCTAGTCTTTTGGTAAAGTATCTAGCCTTGTCGTAGTGTATCTAGCCTTCTTGTAGTGTATTTAGTCTTGTGTAAGCACTGTAAGCAGTATTTAGTATTCTGTCAGGAGTATTTAGTGTTCTTGTAGTGTATCTAGTCGTTTGGTAGTGTATCCAGTCGTTTGGTAATGTATATAGTCTTCTGGTAGTGTATTTAATCTTCTACCAGCAATATTTAGTCTTCTGCAAGGAATATCTAGCCTTCTGTTAGCAATATTTAGTCTTTTGGTAGAGTATCTAGCCTTCTGGTAGTGTATCTAGTCTTGAGCCTGCTAGGGCGGCTTACTCTTCGTGCTTTTCACTCTGTTGCAGCTTAGCAGTTTGGGGATCAGCTTCACGTGTGGGAATAGTGTTTCTTCTACAAAAACGGTGTGTACGTGCCCTTGATAACCTTAAGACAAGTGAGACTTGTAGGTTGTCGTTTCAAAGGCACTGTATACTTGCTATTCCTGCCACCTATATCTTTTCGTTCTTGAACTATGTTCATAATCATAAGAGTGAGTTTACAATTAACTATCAACTACATAGTTATAACACTCGCCATAAAGATCTTTTTGAGTTCATTTTCAAGGTGCTAAATTATACAATAAATTGCCTAACAATTTCAAATTGTTAAAACCCCAGAAATTTAACTTAAGAGTTAAAAATATGTTAATATCGAAATGCTTGTATTCTCTCGAAGATTTTTATAACTGCGACCTTTGTACTGGCATCGATTAAAATTACTTAAATGTGGTGAAATTGTGTCTGTAATTTATTCGCTTACTTTTATAATATAAGAGTAACTTTATGTAATTTACTATTTCTATGATGATTCTTGTATTTGTATAATGGTACATACTTTACTTTTATGACGTTTTTGATTTGTAAAATTTTTTTTCAAAATTAACTTATTATTATTATTATCTAGTCTTCTTGTAGTATATCTAGTCTTCTAGTAGTGTATTGAATGTTCCACCACCAATATTTAGTCTTCTGCAAGGAATATCTAGCCTTCTAGTAGCAATATCTAGTCTTTTGGTAGAGTATCTAGTCTTCTGGTAGTGTATCTAGCCTTCTTGTAGTGTATTTACTCTTGTGTAAGCAGTATTGTCATAAGTGTCTAGTCATCTGGTAGTGTATCTAGTCATCTGGTAATGTATTTAATCTTCCACCAGCAGTATTTAGTCTTCTACAAGAAATATCTAGCCTTCTCGTAGCAATATCTATTCTTTCGGTAGAGTATCTAGTCTTCTGGTAGCGTATCTAGCTTTCTTGTAGCGTATTTAGTCTTGTCTATGCAGTATTTAGTATTCTGTCAGGAGTATCTAGTCTTCTGGTAGTGTATTTAATCTTCCACCAACAATATTTAATTTTCTGCAAGCAATATCTAGCCTTCTGGTAACAATATCTAGCACTTTGTTTCATCTTAGTTATATTCTTTCCTCTTCAATATTATTACTTAATTTAATTTATATATTTTTTACAGTACTTGATAGCTTCTCATTTTAAGAAACATGACTTTTTTCCACTTACTGTGTGAAAGTTTTATTTGCCTTGAGAAGAATGATGATGCTATCGAGATCCTAAATAAGTTAATTCACTTTCATATACTGCCTTTAGTAAATTCTTGACAGTAATTATATTTTAATCTGTTTTTTATGACCTTTATTAATAAAATCTTTTTCCGTTTTCTCGGTTCAATACAGTCGTGCCTGATAACGAGATAAATTATCTCGTAACATAATTAGCATCGATACTAAATATAAATAAATAAATAATTTTCATCGTACTCAATCCTAAGTTTCTTATTATTACTATATTTTCACGATGAACCTGGATGGATACGTTGGCTTCATTATTCTGGTAGTGTATCTAGCCTTCTTGTAGTGTATTTAGTCTTGTGTAAGAAGTATTTAGTATTCTGTCAGGAGTATCTAGTCATCTGGTAGTATATCTAGTCTTCTTTTAGTGTATTTAATCTTCCACCAGCAGTATTTAGTCTTTTGCAAGGAAAATCTAGCCTTCTGGTAGTGTATCTAGACTTTTTGTAATGTATTTAGTTTTGTGTAAACATTATTTAGTATTCTTTCAGTAGTATCTAGTCTTCTGGTAGTGTATGTAATCTTCCACCAGCAGTATTTAGTCTTCTGCAAGGAATATCTAGCCTTCTGATAGCAGTATCTAGTCTTCTGGTAGTGTATCTAGCCTTCTTGTAGTGTATTTAGTCTTGTGTAAGCAGTATTTATATTCTGTCAAGAGTATCTAGTCTTCTGATAGTGTATTTAATCTTCCACCAGCAGCATTTAGTCTTATGAAAGGAATATCTATCCATCTGGTAACAATATCTAGTCAATATCGGGATAATTTATTAAAATTGACTGAATCCAGCTAAATAGATTGAAAATCGTCTCTTAAAAGTTATTATTGTGGTTATTGTTATTACCAGAAACTTTGAAAAGCAAAATTAAATGTTACTATGTGGTTTATTCACAAAGTATGCAAAAAATGTGTTTCTTTACCTTGGTAAATCAACTAGAACTAATGAATTGTGTTTGATTTGTCGACCATTTCGTTCTAATTTTGAATATTCCTATTGACGGCAATTAAAATATGACTAATAACTTCTCTCTTCAACCGTACAAATAATTATCTCCTCTCAAAAATATATCAGAAATATTTTTGAGAATTGATTTGTTATAAATCTCCCCAATTCTCCCCATTTAGTCATCTGCCAAGAATATCTAGCTTTCTGGTAACAATATCTAGTTTTTTAGTAGAGTATCTAGTCTTCTGGTGGTGTATCTAGCCTTCTTGTATTATATTTAGTCTTATGTAAGCAGTATTTAGTATTCTGTCAGGAGTATCTAGTCTTCTGGCGGTGTATTTAATCTTCCACCAGCAATATTTAGCCTTCTGCAAGGAATATCTAGCCTTCTGGTAGCAATATCTAGTCTTTTGGTAGAGTATCTAGCCTTCTTGTAGTGTATTTAGTCTTGTGTAAGCAGTATTTAGTATTCTGTCAGGAGTATCTAGTGTTCTTGTAGTGTATCTAGTCGTCTGGTAGTGTATCCAGTCTTTTGATCATGTATCTAGTCTTCTGATAGTGTATTTAATCTTCCACCAGCAATATTTAGTCTTCTGCAAGGAATATCTAGCCTTCTGTTAGCAATATCTAGTCTTTTGGTAAAGTATCTAGCCTTGTCGTAGTGTATCTAGCCTTCTTGTAGTGTATTTAGTCTTGTGTAAGCACTGTAAGCAGTATTTAGTATTCTGTCAGGAGTATTTAGTGTTCTTGTAGTGTATCTAGTCGTTTGGTAGTGTATCCAGTCGTTTGGTAATGTATATAGTCTTCTGGTAGTGTATTTAATCTTCTACCAGCAATATTTAGTCTTCTGCAAGGAATATCTAGCCTTCTGTTAGCAATATTTAGTCTTTTGGTAGAGTATCTAGCCTTCTGGTAGTGTATCTAGTCTTGAGCCTGCTAGGGCGGCTTACTCTTCGTGCTTTTCACTCTGTTGCAGCTTAGCAGTTTGGGGATCAGCTTCACGTGTGGGAATAGTGTTTCTTCTACAAAAACGGTGTGTACGTGCCCTTGATAACCTTAAGACAAGTGAGACTTGTAGGTTGTCGTTTCAAAGGCACTGTATACTTGCTATTCCTGCCACCTATATCTTTTCGTTCTTGAACTATGTTCATAATCATAAGAGTGAGTTTACAATTAACTATCAACTACATAGTTATAACACTCGCCATAAAGATCTTTTTGAGTTCATTTTCAAGGTGCTAAATTATACAATAAATTGCCTAACAATTTAACTTAACAGAAAGAGTCTTCTGGTAGTGTATGTAATCTTCCACCAGCAGTATTTAGTCTTCTGCAAGGAATATCTAGCCTTCTGATAGCAGTATCTAGTCTTCTGGTAGTGTATCTAGCCTTCTTGTAGTGTATTTAGTCTTGTGTAAGCAGTATTTAGTATTCTGTCAGAAGTATCTAATCTTTTGGTAGTGTATTTAATCTTCCACCAGCAGTATTTAGTCTTCTCCAAGGAATATCTTCCCTTATGGTAGCAGTATCTAGTCTTTTGGTAGTGTATCTAGTCTTCTGGTAGTGTATCTATCCTTCTGCTGGTATATTTAGTCTTTTGAAAGCAGTATCTAGTTATTCATTAGCAGTATTTAGTATTTTGTCAGGAGTATTTGGTCTTTCAGTAGCAGTATCTAGTCTTCTCGTAGTGTATCCAGTCTTCTGGTAGTGTATTTAATTTTCCACCAGGAGTATTTAGTCTTCTGCAAGGAATATCTTGGAATATTTAGCCTTTTGGTAGCATTATTTAACCTTCTACAAACAGTATCTAGTCTTCAATTAGGAGTATCTGGTCTTTTATAGCACTAACTTGCATTTTGTCAGTAGCAAATAATGTTCTGGACACAATGTCTAGTCTTCTGCTAACACTAAGTAGTCTTCCGCTAAGTGAATACTCTTCAATAAGCAGAATCTGGTATTTTACAGCATCTTTTTATTTTTGAATAAAGTTTTTTTTCTTTTTTAAATTATGTAAACGAAATAGAACAGAATTTTAATAGACTGCAAGTATCTTATACTAGACTTAGAATGTGTATTGAATGCGATAAGGTTAATAACGGCAATAAAAGTCGTTAATTATATGGAGTGATTCAGGATTTATTTTAAGTAGTAGTATTTAGCAATTAATTTTGACACGTTTTTATTCCATATCTATGTTATCTTAAGTCCTTTATCTATTGTAAAACTGCATTATGTAATTTTTCTGGGAAACTATAACAACTCTCTGATAAATTAATCAGAAGGTGCAGATATATTTTTAAGTTGAATACTTTGACTGCAATACTTATTAATTTTCTTTTTATTTGTTTTTAGTGTGGTCCATGGCTAAAAATCTCACATCGGCCGGCACAAATGCTAGCCCATTCTTCTTCTTGCCTTCAGGACGACGCAGAAGACAACCACCCCCTTGGATCATTCCCTTAGTGATTCTGGATACCTCGCGATCACAATTAAATATTACACGAAGAAGTACAAGTCATATCATTCCTTCAACTTAAAAAAAAGAATTTAACGAATTAAAAAAAGAATAACACCAAAAAAAAGCAAAAAAATAAATAAATTGATATCGAAAAACTACCTCCGCAATAATTTACTTACTTGTAAATACGAAGGAAAAATTAAAAAGAAGAAACTAAGTACTTAAATATTATTGTTAGAAAAATTTTTCGATTTTAAAAGCAATCACACGTTGCCTTAAATAATTAACGGGGAAAAAATCATCACTGATTTCTATTTATATGTTGGTATTTTATACTGGTTTTATCGATTTAAAGTTTAAGAAAAATAAGTGTCCTTTTTTAACGTAAATCGACTTTTCTTGCCATTTTGAGAAATAATAAAAGGAGATTTTAAATAAATCAACATGGAACGTGTCGCAAACAGAGCGTCTTTTATGTTACGAAGAAAAACGATGACGACTGGTGAGTAAATATTAAAGTTTTTTTTTTTTTTAATATTACTTACACATTTTCACCAAACATTGATAGCAAAAACCCATCACTTTAACGGATCACGTTTCTTTTTCCTACCTTTTAACTAAACCTTCACTTTCTCCCCTTTTTACGTATCGATTTACAATTTACCTTTCGGTTTAATGGTAACAAAACAAAATTACGAACAATACATATTTTTTTTGTTGGGTTTGTTTATAGATTTACTAAAAATGTTTTTAGATAAGTTTTCAGTCAAAAGTGTTATTCTAGATTTCTTTTTGTATGTATGTAGTTTCATGTGGGGGAGAATTCCTTCACAACATTTAGGCCCCAGCCGGCCTTTTGTTCATCTCCACAATTTAGTGTTCATTCAGGTGTCAGAAAATCAGCCCAAGGTTTTAATGGACGTTAATATACAGTGAATTCCACTTAAAATGCAATATACAAAAATATATTTTCATAGAAACCAGAAATTAAAGGATTTTCAATATTGTTTATGAAACTGAACGTATTTTTAATATATCTTTCATAATTTTTTTTTAAATTTTTCACAATAACTAATTAATAATTATTTTCATTCGATTTAAAATTAAAAATCGAGTAATTTAAGTCCAAACACGAAGGGATTATCTTTAAAACCCCCAAAAATACTCAAAAAACAAAATAGAAACAAAGATGGCGGATAAGAACTGTCATTGTGAGGTTATGTTTCGTTATTTCATCATAAATATAGGTTGTAGGGTATTAAATTAAAGGATTTTTAATTTTGTTTATGAAACTGGACGTACTTTTAATATATTTTTCAGAATATATTTTTTTAAATTTTCATAAAAATTAATTAAAATTATTTTCATTCGATTTAAAATTAAAAATCGAGTAATTTAAGTCCAAACACAATGAGTTTATCTTTAAAACTCGCAAAGATACTCAAAAATCGAAATAAAAACAAAGATGGCGGGAAAGAACTGTCATTGTGAGGTTATGTNTTACGAACAATACATATTTTTTTTGTTGGGTTTGTTTATAGATTTACTAAAAATGTTTTTAGATAAGTTGTCAGTCAAAAGTGTTATTCTAGATTTCTTCTTGTATGTATGTAGTTTCATGTGGGGGAGAATTCCTTCACAGCATTTAGGCCCCAGCCGGCTTTTTGTGCATCTCTACAATTTACTGTTCATTCAGGTGTCAGAAAATCAGCCCAAAGTTTTAATGGACGTTAATATACAGTGAATTCCACTTAAAATGCAATATACAAAAATATATTTCCACAGAAACCAGGGCGTACCAATTTACTTTGTTCCACATAAAATGCAACATGTGTGAAGGTTTCTAGTTCTAGTGACAGTGGTAGGTAGTGCTAGTTAACATAAGATATCATGTTGCATATTTTTATTGAACTAAAACTAGAACTAACACTAGACCTAGAACTAGAATGTATTGGGTTTAACCGTGCGTCTGAAGACAGCACTAGGGCTACTGAGTTCTAGGTCTAGTGTTAGTTCTAGTTTTACACAAACACTCACTAGAACTAACACAAGACCTAGAACTAGAATCATTCCGGTTTAGCCGTCTTGAGAGACGTGCAGCTAAACCCGAATGTTTGCACATTGTGAGGTTATATTTCGTTATTTCATTATAAATATAGATTGTAGAGCATCAAACTAAAGGATTTTTAATGTTGTTTATGAAACTGAACGTCTTTTCACTACATCTTTCCAAATATTTTTTTAAAAATTTCACAATAACTAATTAAAATTATTTTCATTCGATTTAAAATTAAAAATCGAGTAATTTAAGTCCAAACACGAAGGGTTTATCTTTAAAACTCGCAAAGATACTCAAAAATCAAAAGAGAAACAAAGATGGCGGATATGAACTGTCATTGCGAGGTTATGTTTCGTTATTTTATTATAAATATAGGTTGTGGGGTATCAAATTAAAGGATTTTTAATTTTGTTTATGACAGTGAAGGTATTTTTACTATCTCTTTCCAAATATTTTTTTAAATTTTTCATAAAAATTAATTAAAATTATTTTCATTCGATTTAAAATTAAAAATCGAGTGATTTAAGTCCAAACACAAAGTATTTATCTTTAAAACTCGCAAAGATACTCAAAAATCGAAATAAAAACAAAGATGGCGGATAAGAACTGTCATTGTGAGGTTATGTTTCGTTATTTCATCATAAATATAGGTTGTTGGGTATCAACTTAAAGGATTTTTAATTTAGTTTACGAAAATGAACGTATTTTTAATATATCTTCCCAAATCATTTTTTAAATTTTTCTCAAAAATTAATTCAAATCATTTTCATTCGATTTAAAATTAAAAATCGAGTAATTTAAGACCAAACACAATGGGTTTATCTTTAAAACTACCAAAGCTATTCAAAAATCGAAATAAAAACAAAGATGGCGGATAAGAACTGTCATTGTGCGGTTATGTTTCGTTATTTCATCATAAATATACATAGGTTGTGGGGTATCAAATTAAAGGATTTTCAATTTTGTTTATGAAACTGAACGTATTTTTAATATATCTTTCATAATATTTGTTTTTAATTTTTCACAAAAAATAATTAAAATTATTTTCATCCGATTTAAAATTAGAAATCGAGTAATTTAAGTCCAAACACAATGGGTTCATCTTTAAAACCCCCAAAGATACTCAAAAATCGAAATAAAAACAAAGATGGCGGGAAAGAACTGTCATTGTGAGGTTATGTTTCGTTATTTTATCATAAATATAGGTTGTGGGGTATCAAATTAAAGGATTTTTAATTTTGTTTATGACAGTGAAGGTATTTTTACTATCTCTTTCCAAATATTTTTTTAAATTTTTCATAAAAATTAATTAAAATTATTTTCATTCGATTTAAAATTAAAAATCGAGTGATTTAAGTCCAAACACAAAGTATTTATCTTTAAAACTCGCAAAGATACTCAAAAATCGAAATAAAAACAAAGATGGCGGATAAAAACTGTCTTTGTGAGGTTATGTTTCGTTATTTCATCATAAATATAGATTGTGGGGTATCAACTTAAAGGATTTATCTTTAAAACCCCCAAAGATACTCAAAAATTAAAATAGAAACAAAGATGGCGGATAAGAACTGTCATTGTGAGGTTATGTTTCGTTATTTTATCATAAATATAGGTTGTGGGGTATCAAATTAAAGGATTTTTAATTTTGTTTATGACAGTGAAGGTATTTTTACTATCTCTTTCCAAATATTTTTTTAAATTTTTCATAAAAATTAATTAAAATTATTTTCATTCGATTTAAAATTAAAAATCGAGTGATTTAAGTCCAAACACAAAGTATTTATCTTTAAAACTCGCAAAGATACTCAAAAATCGAAATAAAAACAAAGATGGCGGATAAGAACTGTCATTGTGAGGTTATGTTTCGTTATTTCATCATAAATATAGGTTGTTGGGTATCAACTTAAAGGATTTTTAATTTAGTTTACGAAAATGAACGTATTTTTAATATATCTTCCCAAATCATTTTTTAAATTTTTCTCAAAAATTAATTCAAATCATTTTCATTCGATTTAAAATTAAAAATCGAGTAATTTAAGACCAAACACAATGGGTTTATCTTTAAAACTACCAAAGCTATTCAAAAATCGAAATAAAAACAAAGATGGCGGATAAGAACTGTCATTGTGCGGTTATGTTTCGTTATTTCATCATAAATATACATAGGTTGTGGGGTATCAAATTAAAGGATTTTCAATTTTGTTTATGAAACTGAACGTATTTTTAATATATCTTTCATAATATTTGTTTTTAATTTTTCACAAAAAATAATTAAAATTATTTTCATCCGATTTAAAATTAGAAATCGAGTAATTTAAGTCCAAACACAATGGGTTCATCTTTAAAACCCCCAAAGATACTCAAAAATCGAAATAAAAACAAAGATGGCGGGAAAGAACTGTCATTGTGAGGTTATGTTTCGTTATTTTATCATAAATATAGGTTGTGGGGTATCAAATTAAAGGATTTTTAATTTTGTTTATGACAGTGAAGGTATTTTTACTATCTCTTTCCAAATATTTTTTTAAATTTTTCATAAAAATTAATTAAAATTATTTTCATTCGATTTAAAATTAAAAATCGAGTGATTTAAGTCCAAACACAAAGTATTTATCTTTAAAACTCGCAAAGATACTCAAAAATCGAAATAAAAACAAAGATGGCGGATAAGAACTGTCATTGTGAGGTTATGTTTCGTTATTTCATCATAAATATAGGTTGTTGGGTATCAACTTAAAGGATTTTTAATTTAGTTTACGAAAATGAACGTATTTTTAATATATCTTCCCAAATCATTTTTTAAATTTTTCTCAAAAATTAATTCAAATCATTTTCATTCGATTTAAAATTAAAAATCGAGTAATTTAAGACCAAACACAATGGGTTTATCTTTAAAACTACCAAAGCTATTCAAAAATCGAAATAAAAACAAAGATGGCGGATAAGAACTGTCATTGTGCGGTTATGTTTCGTTATTTCATCATAAATATACATAGGTTGTGGGGTATCAAATTAAAGGATTTTCAATTTTGTTTATGAAACTGAACGTATTTTTAATATATCTTTCATAATATTTGTTTTTAATTTTTCACAAAAAATAATTAAAATTATTTTCATCCGATTTAAAATTAGAAATCGAGTAATTTAAGTCCAAACACAATGGGTTCATCTTTAAAACCCCCAAAGATACTCAAAAATCGAAATAAAAACAAAGATGGCGGGAAAGAACTGTCATTGTGAGGTTATGTTTCGTTATTTTATCATAAATATAGGTTGTGGGGTATCAAATTAAAGTATTTTTAATGTTGTTTATGAAACTGAACGTACTTTTGATATATCTTTCATAATATTTTTTTTAATTTTTCACAAGAATTAATTAAAATTATTTTCATTCGATTTAAAATTAAAAATCGAGTGATTAAAGTCCAAACACGAAGGATTTA